CGCCCTGGGTCCGTATTCGAGCAGAACACGGGTGTCTGATTCGCCCCGCCCGGACGCAAAACAGATCCACCTGGAACGACCCGCACAACTGGGAGATAACTCTGAAAATCTGCCTGTCGAGCATCCACTGGCGGGGCCAGGATCCGGCGAGAGAGCCGCGTCTGCGCGACGCTCTCCAGCCCCGGAGATAAACAGGGAGTACCTGACAACGCGACTGGTCGCACCAGAGGAGAAAGTCCCACGCCCCGGAGGCGCTGGGGACACCCGCCGCCTTTGCTTCAGGATGTACGACATGGCCGCCTGGTTGTCCAACTGAAGACGGACTACCTGGCCCTGGACATGCTCTCTGAAGCCGAAAACCAACCGCACAGCTCTCAGTTCCAACACGTTGATGTGAAGGTGGGCTTCGCTTCGACCAGAGTCCGGACACCGACAGACTGCCCAGAACACCCCCCCAGCCCGTGAGGGACGCATCGGTCTGAACTGTGAGAGCTGGCATCGGGATTTCCAAGGGGAACCCCCTGGTGAGATTCCCGACATTGGTCCACCACTGAAGGTGAGGTGTCAACCACCCGGGGACTGTGAGACTGCGCTCCAGGTCCTCCGCTCCAGGTCCTCAAAGTGAGCCCACAGACTCGCCAAAGCTTGCTGTATGGGGCGCATCCTCAACCGCGCCCGCCACACTACAGAGATCGTCGCCGCCATATGGCCCAGTAGACGGAGCCAAGTCCGTGCTGGTGCCTGGGGCTGGGAGAGGAACGAAGACACCATCTCCCGTACTCTGGTGATCCGGTCGCGAAAAACTAGATCCTTGTGGGTATGGAACCTCGCCCTGAGAAAAACCAAAACCTGGGTAGGTACCAGGTCGGATTTCTTGAGGTTGATGATCCACCCCAGTCGAACTAGAATGTCTATCACTGTGTGAGTAGCATCTAGGCTCGCTGGCTGTGTTAGTGCTCCGAGCAACCAGTCGTCTAGGTAAGGGTAACAACGCCTTCCTTGCGAGCGAGCGAGGGTAGCCGGGACTAACATGAGCTTGGTGAACACCCTTGGGGCAGTGGATATGCCGAAGGGGAGCACCGTGAATTGGTAACACATCCCGTCGTAAGAGAACCGAAGGTACTGCTTGAACGATGGATGTATGGGCACATGCAGATATGCATCCTTGAGGTCGATTGACGTGAGCCAATCGCCGGGCTGAACAGATGAGATCACCGAGAGCAGTGTCTCCATCTTGAAGGATGGTACTTCTAGCATGCGGTTCAACCCCTTGAGGTTGAGAATGGGACGGAAACACGCCGTCTTTCTTCAGAACGAGGAAGTACGCGGAGTAAAATCCCGCCTGTTCCTCTCGGTGGAATATTAGCCGATTGCGGACTTGTCCAGCAGAGCCTGAACTTCGTCGCGCAATATGTCCGCCCTTGCCTGACATGACGGCACCGGAGGCGCGGCGTGATGCCGGTGAAGTCGGGCGGACCTCGCTTCCACAGTGGTAAATGGCCTACACTGATGGTGGACAGCACCCAAGTGTTTTGTGTAGCCTTCTCCCATTCCGGTAGGAATAGAGAGAGGCGGCCTCCCACTGGGACGCCGGTAAGAGCGCGCGCGGCCGTCCCGAAAGTAGCGGAGCTGACTGGGCGTGACACACGGCTTGATCGACAGCCTGATGGGTTAACGGGAGGTCGGGCAGACCTCCCGCGCCGAAAAGGCTGCTGGGAGCTAGTCGAGGACTGCTCCTTGCCCTTACCCTTGGCGGACCTGTGCCTCCGCTTACCCCTGCCAAGCGGCCGAAGCCAGCCAGCGGACTCGGGTGTAGGCTGCACCCCTGCGGAGGAAGGTGGAAAGGGAGCGCGGGGGCGAGACACCCGCGGGTGCTCCAACAAGGCCTTAGAGTCCTTGAAGGAGGTAGCTGCAGCGGCAGTCTCCCATATGACCTGCTGTGACCCTGGAAAGAGGGTCGCTCCCAGACAGAAGGGAAGGGCCAGCAAGGTCTGCTGTGTCGCTGCCGAGTAACGAGACGTCGACAGCCACAGCTTGCGCATCCCCATGACTGCGCACATCACCGTCGACGCAAAGAGTCGCGCGCGAGGTGGGCCTGCACTTCAGACAACTGCCGGAGGAGCACGACATGCGGTGAAACATCACCAGCATGCCACTCCGCCTCCAGGGCCGACCTCTGAATCGAGGAGAGGTAGGCCTCATGGACCACCACCCTGACCTGCTGCATAGCGTTCCTGTAAACCTCGTAGGTACGGTACGCATGCCGCAGGGGGGCGCCCGCGAGGGCAAACGGTGGAGTCACACGCCCTTGCCGAGCAGCCGGAGCTGCTCCGGAGGAAGCCGAGCCTCCCCCCAAGGCGACTGAAGTGAATACACACTCATCCACGATAGGTACCGCGAACAGGGAATCCTCCCCAAGCTGGTATCTCCGGACAAGCTCTGGCAAGTCAAAACGGAGGCGAGAACCAGACAAGAGGGGATCGACCACGTCCTGGACTAACGATGAAAGAATGCGGAGCTGCGTCTGCGTAGGCTGCCTAGGGGCAAACGCCTCGCCTGGCAAGCGGAACTCAGCCGAGTCCGAGATGCTAACAGGCACCACGGCCTGGGGTAGGTACTCGGCAATCCGTTGCCGGACCTCCCGCAGAGCCGAAGAGAAACGGAAGGCACCCTCCTGCTCCTCGACCTCCCCAGTATCCATCGACTCGGCGCCCGAGCCCGAGTCTGAGGCTGGGTCTCCTCGCGAAGAGGACCCGAACCCCGACCCGGTGGGCTGCCTAGCACTAGGAACAACAGAGAGGGAGGAGCAGACAGAGCGCCCCGCGTCAGTGCCTGCAGGCATGCACGGACCCCGGTCCCGAGACGCTGGAGGCATACCAGGCAGAACTGGTGCCTCCGCTCTCATGGGGCGGGAGGGCGCAGGGATCGGAACCCCAGGAATCATCAACGGTCCCTGCGCCAACTCCGAGAGGGGGACTGGGAGCACAACGGGTCGACAGATGCCTCATTGCCTAGGGATCGAGCCGGGCTCGGCGATCCCCCCCCCCAGACTCTCCGCCCCACGCTCAGAGTGGGCGAGGAACTCCTGCCGGAGTCCTCCAACCGTCTCATGAACGAGGGACCTCATCGAGTCTGCGTGCTGCTGAAACATCTGTGTGATTATAGTCATATCAAAACCGCTACCAGGAGCGGGAGAAGGGGACTGGCTACGGGATTTTTTTCCCTTAGAGCGCGGCTTTTTAGCCTTAGACGGGGGGACCTGGGTAAGTTCCCTCCGCCCACGCATTTCTCTGTAAGAGGAAGTCGGTCGCCTCCTCTTCTGGGCCCGGGAAAACCCCAGACAAATTTCACAAGTTTCGCCTCATGGCCGGTCTTTTCCAAGCACACGATACACTTTGTCGTGGTTCGTCGGCCCGTGGAATACTCCCCACAGACCGAACAGGAGGAAAACGCCTGAAAGCAAACACGCAAGCATGAAGCTAACGGCGGACCAGCAGCTAATATACACGTAGAAAACATTGAAAAATACGTGAAGGCTACCACGGGAAGAAATAGTTGGTTCAATACGCAATATTACAACCACGCGGCACGCTAAACTTCCCCGCCATGGCAGAGCAACATGCGTAAAACCACGGAAAGTTAGCGTAAAATAATTAATACAAAGTCACAATTATGAAACAACCGACCGCGAAAAGCTTTGCTGTTCCTTAACAAGGACAAAATAAAGACCATACATACAGGTGGTGTCTCAGACATTATACTCTTTCTCTCAGAAAAGGTCAGCTCCGCTCGACACATACCTCTGTTAGAGGCAGTGACAGCAGAAGGAATGATGATACGGGCCTAGGTGCTTACCCAGTTGGTGCGCATGCGTAACGGGAGGTAACTCCGTGAGGTGGGGGCCGTATAATAAATAAAAGAGTTTATTTATTGTACAATCTTTTTATTCAAAAAACATTGATACAACTGTCACAGGACATTTTCAGCTTGGAAAATGCATAATATGTACCCCAAGGACGATCTCTATGAAGAAGAATGGGGATGAGGTTTTGCATTGACTAACACAACGAATGGTGTCTTCTAGACCAAATCTCAACCAAGTGTCCTTTGCAGATTATAATAACTTTGCCAAGATATAGATCCTTTCACAATTCATTTTAATAGGCCTAGAACAAACAATTCAAGAATGACAAATTGTCATATGTCTGATCAGACAAGATAACCATCTGCGGATCCACAACATATGCAGTCGACATGAAATAGTAGAACCACCACTACACTCTCGACTTATGAAGACAAGCAAAATGGTGAAGGTTTATTTTTACAGATGAGATTCACAGCATTTGCTGCGTAGCATGCTTGGTGCCGTTGTACAAAGAAACCTTAGCACTACGGCTTTCGTAAGTCTTTGTTCTATGGCTCCAATCATGAGATGGCACATGTTTGGTGTGGAACATGTGATGGTACAGGCTAGGATATTCGTCCACCACGTTAATGGAAACATCTTTGGTATCCGATATCCTGACAAGGTTATTCAACACACAGCTTCTTTGCAAGGTCAGTCAAAGTTCTATATTACAGGATATGTCAGCACACTCACAGAGAATTTGTCTGCTGTTTTAGCATTTTCTCCGATTGAAGACCAGTTCCAACCCGATTTGAACATGCTTCAGATGAACTGGGTACAATGGTAGAAAGTGACCATGGACCAGCAGTAAATGTCAGTGAATTGTTACAGCATCTTCAAGCTGAATGTCAGAGTGGCAAGCGAATGCTTTAACCACAAGGCTACCGAGCCACCCTATATTTTTTTATGTATCTGTATATTTATTAGATAACTGAAAGCTGAACCAATATTAGTCATACATCATATGCATGAAAACACCACAAGCCTGAAAAAGGATGGATCAGTTATTAGTGTTATACACATTGATACACGGTCACTGTACTAATTCAAGATACATTGCTAAGGAAGATTGTCATTTCGTATTTCCTGAAGGTCAGAAGATGATATCTGAAAAACAGCAACAGAAATATATAGAATGAATATTTCTGAAAAAAATGTGCTTTTATCAGAAATCTCTTTCAAAATAACTTGAGGGGATGCGGAGATTAATACTCTTTTTTGAGTTTTGTCTTTTCGTCAGCAAGGTTATGCCTGCAAAGCAAACCCATTCAGTGAAAGATTAAGTTTGGCATATGTACATTCTCCAGCTCTCTGTTGTTGACAATTAACACTTTCCTGAAACCAGAATGTCTTGACAATAAGTATTAGCACTGGAATGTAAATATCCAAAGTCTAATACCTGCCGAAAGTGTCTGTGTGGAAAGGAAGCCTGCAAAGTAAGAATTGTGAGATGATACTGAAGACCCACCTGGAACACATTGCTGTGGTTCAGGAGTCCACTTTCCATCTCTACACAGTACAGTGATGCTGCTTTGTCCCCCAGTAAAGTCCCAGCCCGCCCTGCAGGTGAGGACAACTGATGTTCCCGGGGTGGCCTGGCAACTGGAGGTCAATGCGTTGGTCAGCAGCCTCAGACAAGGGCAGCTGTTGGCTGGGCACAAGATACACTATACTTAAGCGCTTAATGAACTATCATAATTTTGTTTAACCATCCTGAACACTTAAAATTAACTTACTTTAGTTCTGAATGGAAATGTTCCTAAACTGGTTTATGCTTTTCTTGCTGTATGTAAGTTTCTAGTTAAAGAAGTTATATACATTATTATATGTGCATAAAACGGGTCTCGAGTTAAGGTAGCTGATAAATAGATCATTTTCAAGATGCAATGGTTGGGATCAATTCCAGGTTGTTTGTATGTATTTAAATGTGGTTGTAAATGAAAAAGATTTGGCTTTGGTATATTAAAGTTTGATAATTTTTAAAACATTTTTATTATACATGTAATATAGTTATTCACAAAATGTAGTTTTCTATGATGACAGCATATGATTAAGATAAATATTTGACTAAAATTTTACTTCAAATTCAAATTTTACGAACACACTAGTTCTTACCTTCATTTTCGAAATAGTAGGAGCTGCATGTATATATGTAGGAGCGGGATGACATTAGGGATGTTGCAGCCTCTGAGGAAGCTGCTGCTACCATAGGAGCAGTCGTTGGATTAGAAGGGGGCTTCGTGGACAATGGGCTGACTGATTCTGATGTTATGGGTAGCAGATCACCATTGTCTGTTGTACTGGAGCTGGTGATCTCAGAGTAGGCTCCAGTGTCTCCAGAGTCAACATCTATAATGTGGCTGACAGGTTCTGATGTCTTGGGAAGCAGATCGCCATTGTCTGTTGTACTGGAGCTGATGATCTCAGAGTAGGCTCCAGAGTCAACATCTATAGTGTGGCTGACTGGTTCTGTTGTCTTGGGAAGCAGATCGCCATTGTCTGTTGTACTGGAGCTGATGATCTCAGAGTAGGCTCCAGTGTCTCCAGAGTCAACATCTATAGTGTGGCCGACTGATTCTGATGTTATGGGAAGCAGATTACCATTGTCTGTTGTACTGGAGCTGATGATCTCAGAGTAGACTCCAGAGTCAATATCTATAGTGTGGGTGACTGGTTCTGTTGTCTTGGGAAGCAGATCGCCATTGTCTGTTGTACTGGAGCTGATGATCTCAGAGTAGGCTCCAGTGTCTCCAGAGTCAACATCTATAGTGTGGCTGACTGGTTCTGATGTCTTGGGAAGCAGATCGCCATTGTCTGTTGTACTGGAGCTGATGATCTCAGAGTAGGCTCCAGTGTCTCCAGAGTCAACATCTATAGTGTGGCTGACTGGTTCTGTTGTCTTGGGAAGCAGATCGCCATTGTCTGTTGTACTGGAGCTGATGATCTCAGAGTAGGCTCCAGTGTCTCCAGAGTCAACATCTATAGTGTGGCTGACTGGTTCTGATGTCTTGGGAAGCAGATCGCCATTGTCTGTTGTACTGGAGCTGATGATCTCAGAGTAGACTCCAGAGTCAACATCTATAGTGTGACTGACTGGTTCTGTTGTCTTGGGAAGCAGATCGCCATTGTCTGTTGTACTGGAGCTGATGATATCAGAGTTGACTCCAGTGTCTCCAGAGTCAACATCTGTAGTGTCGCTTGAGGTGGCTTGGCTGGAGATATATTTTGATGTCGGCATTGTGTAAAGCGTGTTTGGCTGGTATGTGGTGTGAACAGCTTCTGAGACAGGACTAACCATGGATGCCAGTATCAAAGGTGTTTGAGTATTCTTTCCGATGACTGAGGACGGACTTACTGACTGTTCAAGGAAAGTCCCCACGACAATACTGACCAACTGTTGACTTGTAATTAGAGAACTGAAGCCTGCACTGGACGGATGTGGAGGCTGAGGATTTGTTTGTTTACTACTGCCTGGATCTGTCTGAATCGTACTCGGAGTTAGGACTTTCAGATCAGAGAGACCATGGATCGTATCTGATGTTGATTCAGAATCCAACGACGGTGTTGACAAATCTATGCCACTTGATATCACCAGTGGGGATGTTGGCCGAACAGATGATGTTGATGTTGTGAAATATAGTGACCTTGAAACAGATTCCAGTCGTAATTTCGAGGAATCTTGGATGATACTTGGTGTGAGTGTCTTTTCAAGGTCGGTTTCGATACCTACAGAAACAAAAAACAACATCATGACAATGTGAGTCAAAGATGACGTCAATAATAATTGGCGCACAATAGTCAACATTAATATTCAACTGCAAGTTTATCATTTATCTCCAATAACTGTACTTGCCACAACTAGATTGTGTTAGAGCCTCTTGTCCATTGTCTTGTGTCACCCGCAGCAGAAGGGTGTCGCGTGTGTTGATGCCATTGTACAGAAACTGGTCACAATCTGTCGCAAGTTCCACATCTTCCACTTTATCTGCATCTGTAGAAGTCGAATGAGGTGTTTATAGTTACATGTCGTGACACGATGGCACAGTTCCGCTGTCTCGTGGACTTTGTCAGTCTAGAAGTGCAGACATCATGGTCTTCTAGTGAGTGATGAGTAAGGGGATGGGGAAGGGGTGGGTGGCCAAAGTAATTACCACGGATGTTTACAACAAAGGTACAAGCACATGCACCAAAGTGTTGACAAAGGCTGTGATCTGTGGTGTGAGATATGGCCTGTTGTGAGAACCATGACCGTTGTAAGAGCAATGACGTGTTGTGAGAACTACAGTTTTGTGAGGGCTATGATATGTTGTAACTATGGCTTCTTATCAGAGCTGTGATCTGTTGTTAGAGCTATGGCCTGTTATGCGATCTATGACTTGTGAGAGTCATAACTTTTGGATGCTGTAACATCCACACAAACTGAAGCACAAAATACTGACGGGCCGGACCAATATTCGTACTCCCTGGAACAAAATTCAATAGAGTTTGTGCAACTTTCCTATAGTTAAGACTCTTCCCACTTACCCACATTGTACCACAGTCCAAACTCCCCTCCTGCACACATCTGGTCCTGGTGACCGGAACAGGAAGTGTTACACTGGTTGGGTGTCACCAAATTCACCGAGGCCGGGATCTCTGTGACACAGTAGCAGTCATCACCAGACACCACGGCGTGCTCACTCAGGTTCCCCCGACACAGTTCCTTACACAACAAAGCCGTCATATCATCTTTGTCAACAATATGCTCCAGTTCCATAGACGTGAGATGGAGCTTCCTGCAGCCTCTGAAACCTAAACAATAACGTTTGTAGTTTAAGAACGCTTGTAGTTCAGTGAAGAACAAAGATATAACCATGTTTGACTCATCTGTTTGAACCTGCATGTGCTGTTAGAGCACCTATCTTTAGTTCTAGATACTATCGAATTATTCATTATTTAGTGGGGAGTTGGGATGTGTATTGGCAAATAAAGTGCAATATATTGTGATTTGGTACCTGTATTGCGATATAGTGGGACAGTAAGTGCCACTAATTGTGCATGTCATTCCTATTTTCTACATTCCAAGTCCTTAAACATGTTCTGTTATGGTTCTGATAATAGCAATCTCAAAATTGGGTTGCATAGTCAGGGATTGTAAATTTTTTTTATACAATATATAGTATTACAGTACATGTATGCTGTTTTGTCATTGAATAACGAAGTAAACATGCATCTGTTGTGAATGAACTGACTGAGTGACTGACTGAGTATGGCTTTACGCCGTTTTTAGCAATATTCAGGCAATATCACGGCCGGGGGACACCAGAAATGGGCTTCACAATTTGTACCCACTACCCATGTGGGGAAACGAACCCGGGCCTTCGTGACGAGTGAACGCTTTAACCACTAGGCTACCCCACCGCCCCTGTTGTGAATGAATGTCTGTGTACATGGTGTAGATATTAATAGATATAATCACAAAAACTTCATACATGTTCTTTACCCATATACCGGTTCTCAGAAAAAAACATTGCAATATGTATCGTTTGAAAAGCGTATTGCCATGTACCGGTATACCAGTAATACCGTGAATTCGTCACTGGGGACGTCAGTCAGGTGTATTATGTTCTTTCAGTCTCATTAAAGATAATTCTTTTGTGCAGTACTAATAGTCAGTTTGTAGAGTGCATTACTCCATATGCAATGTATACACCATGCTTTACCAAAAACGTCCATGGTTAAAGGAGAATACGAACGAAAACAAAACTTTTGATATATTGTAAAGGATATTCTAAAAGTCACATTCCAGGATTAAAATTGAATAAAAAGTTTGTAAAATAGCAATAAAAACACAAAAACGTACTCCTATTTCCGCCTATTACGGAAACACCCGACAGTCAATGTCATAACAGTTCCAGCCAGCAAACTCACCCCTATAAATATATGACCAGTCACTAAGAATTATTTGTAAACAAGAAAAAATTGTGTCCAGGGACATGGATGCCCCCGCTGACATTCATAAGACATATAAAGATCAATAATTGAACAAAATTCACGAACAAGTTCAATAAACATCTATGCAACTATGAGATGCACACCTTTCGAGTCCCAATGAAACACATGTATAAGCTTAATCAATTCTGTTGAGCAGCTTTTGTGGAGAAGTGGATAGACTTAATCCCCTATTCACTATCATCAAAGAGAAATTCAACAAAATGTATCTAAGTTCAAATGTCTCTAAACATACAAAAAAATTATAAAATACAAAAACAAAATAGGAGATGCACACCTTTAGAGTCTCTATAAAAGACATATGTATGCTAAATGAGTATTGTGCAGTGGTTTTTGAGGAGAAGTGGATAAAGTACACCCCCTGTTGTATGGGACGAACTGGATGAATAGAACCAAATTCAACTAAGTTCAACATGTGTAGAAGTGACAAAATTAAGAAATTGGATGAACAAGGTATGAGATGCACACCTTTAGAGTTCCAATGAAACACACATGGAAGCTCAATCAATTCTGTTGAGCAGCTTTTGTGGAGAAGTGGATAGACTTCACCCCCCTACAACACTATATTCAGAGAGAAATTCAACAAAATTTATCTAAGTTCAAACGGCAATAAAATTGGAAAAATAAATAAAATACAAAATCAAAATAAGAGATGCACGCCTTTAGAGTCCCTATAAAGCACATGTGTAATCTAAATGAATTCCATAGAGTAGTTTTTGAGGAGAAGTGGATAACGTACACCCCCTGTTGGATGGAACGAACACTGGCTGAATAGAACAAAATTCAACTAAGTTCAAACATCTGTAAAAGTGACAAAATTAAGAAATTGCATAAAATATTATGAAATGCACACCTTTAGAGTCCCTACAAAAGACATGTAGAAGTTCACTCAATTCTGTTTAGCAGTTTTTGTGGAGAAGTGGATAGACTTCATCCCCTATTACACTATCATAATAGAGAAATTCAGCAAAATGTACCTAAGTTCAAATGTCTCTCAACTTACAAAAAAAACAATAAAATAAAAAACCAAAATATGAGATGCACACCATTAGAGTCCCAAGAAAGCCCATGTATAAGTTCATTGAATTCCACAAAGCGGTTATGGTGGAGAAGTGGATAGAATACATTCCCTGTTTCGTACGTACGGACGGACGGACAGACAGACAGACAGACGGACGGACACCGAGGGTAACCCTATATGCCCCCAGCCATATATGGCGGGGACATAAAAAATGTGATTACAGTTCATTTTGTGTCAAATGGGTGACTGTAGGGTGTCTGGGATTTAAAAACAAAATAATTATGCTTCAGACGAGGGAAAATAAAAATTATCTGCTTCAAAAATTACACTGGAATTATTTTGTTGAAAAAAACTTAGGATCCTAGTTCTCATTAATAACGTATCAAGTCTCGATACAAGATTCCAGCCTGGTCGAACAGAGATACTATTCGCGACACAGATAAGTTATTCCCCGAAAACTGGTGAATCATAAACTACTAGTGAGGACAACGTATGTTTCCCCATTGTTTGGTTATGGAAATAGTTATGGTACTCGGTCATAGCCTTAGAATGACATCCTGTCAGCCAATGAGAATACAGAACAACTTTCACGGCACACACTACTGACAAATGGCGAGTCTGATGCCGACGTGCGTAATTTGACAAAATGGAAAACAATGAAAGCAACAAGTCCTTCATGATTTGCCGTTGTATTCGGCAATGTTTCGAGTTGACTTCATCATTTAGTGCTCCAAACCAAAAAGAACGTTATAGCAAAACATTTTCAAGCTCATGTGAAATCTCTTACTGATTTTGATAATATATATCTCATGTGTACCAGTCGAACTGCCCCAGCTACAAAATGACCCAGCAAATTTGGTCATTCATTCTAATTTGTTCAAATTTATTTATAATAATTGAATATATGCCGTAAGTGCATAGTTTTTGTCAACTTATTATGATATTATGTTCTTCATATAAAAGTTATTAGGAAGTAATATTTCTGATAAATGTTTCATCAGTGAACTCATAACTATGTATATACTTATATATGAAGAACTTAATATCAAAGTTGACAAAACTATGCATTTATGGCCTATTTTTATTCATTTTAAATAAATTGGGGCATTTTGACTACCCCACTGGGACAATTTGACCAAATTTGCTGGGGCATTTTGTAGCGGGGGCAATTCGACTGGCAATCGGACTTGATTTAATTTATGTTAAAAATACCACTGACAGTAAGT